TATCATCACCTTTTAAGTTGACTTGGCTTATTTATACATTTACTGCAGCAGTCAGTGAGCAAAACTAGTATCATTTTAATAACTCTCTGTAGGTTAACTACTTTATTTTCACTGACAATTTGATACACTGTCATGAGAAGAATACTGATCAAAACAAGAACTTTCAAATATTGAATTTAAATTGTGTTGCTATTATCGTAGCAACTGGACTTGCTTGAGTTCCTTGAAGATGTTTCACCTCTCATCCAAGAGGCTTCATCGGCCTCTCCCCACCCCAGGAAGATGAAACCACATTCACATCTAGCCACAAAAGAACCTAATGAACCCCGTTGTGGCAGGGGGAGCACGAATGACTCGCATAACGAGGGGGAGGAGCAACAAACCCCCAATTGAAACAGAAACTCAGGTGTTAATGGCTCCTTTAGGATATAAGTATCTGGAACTCCCAACTAGTCAGTCAGAACTGATGAAGCCTCTTGGATGAGAGGTGGAACATCTTCAAGGATCTCAAGCAAGTCCAGGTGCTACGATTAATCTACGAGAATAAAAACAAAAACCACTTTGGATTGTAGTTTATCTGCAGTCTCACCTGTAACCTTTGCTTCCGTTCTTGCTCCTCTTGCAGTCGTCGCCCAGAGTCGACTGAGCTCTGGCCATCCGGGAGCACCGAGCCTTCCTCTCGCCATTGCTCTCCCCTTCTCCTCCCCCTCTCCCCCTCCGTTCTGCCTGGGCTCCGTTGGCCAACATCCCGTTTCCCTCCTTGGGTGGACGATGGGAGTGATGGTGCCGGTGGCCTCTCTCGTCGCCGGCCTCCTCCTCAGGTGATCCGGCCGGGTGGTGTCGGTGTCCCTGGCCTCCGTTTCGGCTCTGGCTCCTCTCCCCTCTCCTCTCCTTGTCGCCGTTGTACTCCCTCCCTCTGCTGTGGTGGGCGTGGTGCCTCCCTCCCCGGCCCTCCCCTCCGTCCCCGTTCCTCTCGCAGTGGCGGTGGTGCTTCCTGCCGTGGGTGTGGAAGGTCTCCCCGTCCGGCCGCGGGTCTCCGGCTTCCTCGCGGCCTCCCTCTGGCGGGTGCCGGCTGGGCTTGTCGCCGTTCCTGGACTCCACCATGAGTGGCCGGTCCAGGTGGGTCTTCATGTCGGGGTGCAGGTGGAGGGCGGTGGACATGCGGAGGCGCTCCTCGGGGTCGAGCTCGTTGAACAGGGCCTCGCTGCTCGCCCTCAGGTTGTGCCTCCTCAGCTGGTTGGTCCTCTGCTCCCACACTGACATGGCTTTAGCCGAGCGCTGCTGCTCCTTGCTGCAAACACCAAATCCACAGAAAAACATCATGTGACAGTGAAAAACAACACAAGTCAAGCTTTACATTTATCTTGTTGTATGAGGTTAGGGTGAACATCGCAATCCACGCTTTCATCCATAGCCACACCATCTTCTCCACACAGTTTTTTTTAATTGAATGATACTCACCAAGCCCCTAATGAATAAATAAGACAGAACCAGGTCTATGGATGCATCAGCACACATGTCCACCATGGTAAAGCTTTCACTTACCATGAGTGACTAATACATGGAGAAAATGCTTAAATCCAGCATGAAATTAGCTCATTAGGGTTCTCAAGATGGTTAAAATTCCTCCTGTTAGGATATGACCTGGTCCTTCACACTGAAATCTCTCCACATGGCTTTGATTTGAAGCAGAAATTTAATATAAGAAACCCTGCAAGTCTATAAGACAATATTAAGGTCGATGGTGTCGAAAAATAGCAAAACATCTGCAGTAATCTGCTCATTTTTTTCCTCATAAAGACGTTCTACTCTTTGGTTTGGACGGCAAAAACAAGCAAAGGTCAAATCCTCTCTGCAGTGTTTTCATACGCTGCTATTCAAAGCTTCCTCCTCTGATGAATGTTTAAACTAAAATCAGGCTTTTTGTTGAGCATAAAGCTGCACGCGACCTTCTACAAACTTCGTGCACAAACTCAAGGAAAACTTGCTTCGCTAAAGTAAACTCTCCAACACTCCAAAAGTTTGTAATTAACTAGTGAGTAACAAAGACTAAACTACACACATATACAGTCATGACTCGATAATCCGACCCTTAACAATCCAAAACGTTGCTATCCGACAAGCTTTTAGGAAAAACGAACAGAACCCATAGAAAACAGCCTTAACATACCGACAGCCTTGGATTCCGACTCCGACATGACATTTTATGTCACAAATCAGGATAATAGTGTATTATCTGACTGAACAGATTGGCTACGTTCACACTGCAGGACCTAATGCTTAACTTTGATTTTTTTTTTGCGAAATCCGATTCTTTTGCGAGTTCGTTCATATTTCCAATTAAATGCGACTTGTATATGAGCTGCTGTGTGAACGTCATACGACCCAAAAGTGTCCCGCATGCGCAGAAGAGGACACGACGACATCACATGCAGCGAGCATGCTCAGTGTTTATGGAAGTAAACACGGATGGCAACGGTGGAGCGTATCCGCCACTCCCCCGCCACCACCGCTGCCACCTGATGGTGGAAACAGAACTGTGACCACTAACGAAACTGGCATCAGCAGCCTGTGCGTTTCGGCCGCTTCCAACCCGTCGGAGCGCTCCCCCGGGGTGGAAGTGGCCAGAACATGCACAAACGCATCGGTCAATTAGGCGTGAAATCCAGCGATGCGTAGTGTTCTAACAATACACTAGCTATGATAACAACTATAAACAATGAATATTAACAACAAATTACCCTTCAAGCATCAAGCCCTCCTTTTATCTCGACCTCCCTATCGACAATCCGACAGCTTGCTATCCGACATACAAGAAGGTTTTACATTCAGTGTTGGATTATCGAGTCACAACTGTATTTCATCCATCCTCGGATCTCCTTAAGACTGTGAGGGACATTTTCCAGGCCTGATTTCACCACATATGTGTAGATCAAAGGCCCCTGATGCCCTTTGAGGCTCCTACTGCTGGAAATTATTGCAAAACTTGAGGAGAAAAGTTCAGTTGAATTTCGCTTGATGGTGCAACCCATCAGAAATTCCAACAAAACCACAATATCGCTACACCTGGACAGTTTTAAGCTCCTGTTCTTGTTCCTTCTGCTCATTTTGGCTGCAAACCTCAGTAAGTCTGACAGCGACCATGTAGATCTTTTTTTTTCAAATTCAGTGCGACACAGGTCATGTGTAAATGGGGCAGGCAGGAAGAAAACATGCTATGATGTATGACCATTCCTCGCATTCTGTGTAACTTTTCTTTAAGCAGAACAACAAGCCGACTCCTGAGACGAAGATGGTCTGAGGTCACACTGATGGACGAAACGTGACTTTTTCCTAACAATCCAAAACACAATCAAAAAAGTCCTTTGTTGTGTTCGCGTTTCCATCTATCACGTGTGAAGGTTTCGCATACTGTCCCACGTTTGTGCACAGTATGGCTTCGGTTTAGCTTTTATGGGTTAGTCAAGTTAGTTCCAATCGATCAGCTGTACCTCGAGATACGTCGGGCGGGAGAAGAGTAGACTGAATAACTCCTAAAAGACAGACAGAAGACATTCACAGACAGACAGGTAGCGTTCGCATGGTTGCAGAAAGGAAAGCCAGAGATTTTGTGATTAACAAACCGCATGCACACTGAAAAACACACAAAAAAAGGGCAGTTCTAGGCTGATGTTAGTGCTGTTTCTAAGTCAGCTGGGACGGCAGCAGCTCACTGGACACTCATACTGTCTTTAAAGCGATGGCAAACGGACCAGAAATGTCAAACTGCCTGCGGTGATCGCAACACTCAGAGGAATTAAACATTTATAGACAAATTATTCACATCAGAGAGCAAAGATGGATTACTGCAGGCAGCAAACACAGATCAGCCGCAGCCATCGACGGCCGGTTAAAGCTGCGGGGAAACACAACTGTTTACCGATTACACTCAAAATTACACCCACACCGGCCTCACAGCGCAACATGTGATGGTGTTTTTCTGCCCTCTGAGGCATTTCGTCATGATATTTTATTTAAAAGTATAAGAATCACAAGTACATTTCACTCTACCAGCTATGAAGTTGTGACAACTTATGGAGGTCCAGAGGAGGAGAGAGAACAGAGAGGAGCCGAGAACAGGGCCAGAAGGTGAGGAGGGCAAAGGGAGGGATCAGGGAGAAGACAGGAGGACGGAGAGGAAGGAGGAGTGAAGACGAAAGGAGGAGGATATTGTAACAGAGAGTGATAACTCACGGTGACTGAATGCTGTTGACGGACGACCTGCGAGAGAGTGCATCTCGATTTTGCTTTACAAAACTGTACATGCAGAACAAAAACAAAAAGGAAAAAAATGAGACACAAATGTGAAGGGGACAGGTGGACGGCCGGTCTGTCCGTCCACCTGTCCCCTCCTGCTTCACAGTAAAGAACTGATCTGTGCGGCAACAAAAGCACGTCTGTCAGCAGTGACATTTTCGTGACAAAAAACTGTTCAGGAGTTTCATTCCAAAACAAGAACAGAATCAAATTTAAACTACTAATAACTTTACGAGTACAAATTCAGTTCATAGAGGCTTATGTGGACTTTAAAACCATTTCTAGTCAAGATTCTTTGATTCGTTTTGTCATGAAACCCTGAGTTTCTCCGAAACAGAGCACAGAATACACATAAAACAGTCATTTCAAAATAAAAGCAGCTGCTTACGAGCTCGCTCACTGGAGTTGTAACACACTGTTCAAAAGCACAAATTAAAATATCCGGAGAACACTGAAAACAGAGGGTCACATAATAGCAGTAATAACAGAGCAAAAGGGGGATGACATCCAGTGATTTATAGCTGATCATCTCCTCCAGTCGAACTGACCTCGTTCTCAGTGAGGACGGCGGCAATTAAAGAGCGACTCGGAGACGATCGCTTTGTCAAGTGAGTGAAAGGAAGAAACCGCATGAAGGGCTGTGCAGAAATGTTCAATTAGCTGCTTTTTGTTTTGTTGTTTAAACGAAGCAGATCAGTGTCAAGGAATAGGACACACTCTAACTCTGAGCTTTACGGCTATAAATCACTGATGAGTTTGGGAAAGCTCCAGTTTCACACCACTTTTCTAAAACGAGGCAGCATTCGGAGGCGCAACACGTCTCCTCGTTAACACAGGAGCTGTCAGTCAGCTGGTGGTGGTGGAGAGGCGGCCGGGCGAAGGTTTGAGCGTGACAGGAGCCATCCATTCTCATAAAGACATCACTGTCATTATCGTGTTAGAAAAACTCTGAACTTCTGACAGCTGACGTTAAGTTTCTCCTTCATCTTGTTCGTGTAACTCTCTCGTCTTTTTCCTTTGTGCTGCTTTGATCTTTGTTCATCTGCTTTATTTTAAAATTAATCCTCAGAATAAAAGAAAAATTATTATACTGAGGTGGATGCTCAGGTTGAAGATTTAAAACCTATTCAGGACTTTCATGTTGCCACACATAGAAGGTCTTTCGGGGTCCACTGGACCCCAAGAAAGAATATGTGCAAAATATTTGCTGTTATTCTTTACAGACTTTTATACTATGTTAAACACATTTTCTGATTAAGTTGACGTACTGTTGGCTCCAAATGAATGACAAATGTCCCTCTTTTTATATTGAAAAAAACATCTTGGGGTCCAAAAGACCCCAAAAGTCCTGAATAGGGTTAAAAACCTTTGGACCTTCTAACTCTGTTTAAAAAGCCCCCAAAAAATAAAAGCAAAAAAGCCGTAAAAATAGAAAGAATAATCAGATTTTATGATGATCCTTGAATTACAGGTGACCTGTGGCTCCGTCAGAAAAACGAAACTAATCTAGAGCTTAAATCATGATAGTTAATTAAAACCATGGTATGTTTCTTTAAAAAAAAAAAATTACTGTTCCCCACAATTAAGAAGTAATTAGTGACTCAGCTGTGACCAACAGTCACTTTACAAAAACGAACAGATGTTTAGGCTGAACTGCAGGCAGTGCTTATTGTGTCAAAAATGTTAGTATAATAACTGTAATACGTAGAGATTTTTCCACTGCTGGAAATATTGTTGTTGTGAAATAAATAACAAGAAATTCTATTTTTAGAAATTTGTTATGCAACTGAAAATGTACTCTTTGATTTTTATTTATTTATTTTTTATTTTTATTTTTATTTTTTTACATGAATTTTGCTCTCATATGATGTAATGCTACAACACAGTATTGATGGTGTTTCCCCATAATTCACTGGTTCCTAAAGTGGGGACTGCTGGGTCATGAGACATCCAGAAATCCAATAAAATAAAATAAAAAAAGGTCAGAGGAGCATATTTTAGCCATTATCGTCACATACATTTTTGTAAAAAACTGAGCCTGTTGCTGCTACATACTGAATGTTATCCAAGACTACAGTTTACAATCTGCTACTAGGCTGTATTAAAATATAATGTTATAATGGTTGTCATGCTGTTGTGTTTTGGGTTTTTTTGTCAGATGTTAAAAAGTCGTGTAAATCCCCGGGCCTAACTGATACGTGTGAAGAAGCAAATAATGGCACTTTAATGCAGGAATCTTCTGTTATCAACATCCAATGAGCCAAAACTTGTTTAATCTGGTTTGCATTGCGCAGGAAACGTTTCTAAAGCAGTGGAACAACCTGATTGTTCAAACGCGGCGCAACTGCTTTAAAAATGAAAAGTCAATTTGCCAGCATGTTGCAAAAAAATAAAAAAATAAAGCAAAAACCGCTGGTGGAAACTCACACGTGCTGCTGAATGAAGCTTCCTTTAACTGCCTATAGGATTAAATAAACAAGGCAACAGCACAGGAGCCTTCTCATAACGGGAGAAGACGAGGATACGCAAGTCAAACACGATACAAATACAAACATCTGAGAGGGAAGAACAACACGCAGAGCCACATGTGTTTCCAGCGTTGTCGGAAACTTACGCAGCGATGGAGATGTTGGCCGCAGACATCGGGCTCACTTCCTTCACCTCCAGAGCTTTCTGCAGGGCCAGTTTCTTATTGGCTGCTTCCTCCTGCTCCTCCTCATCCTTTAACGTAAAACACATTAAGATTGCAACAGATGTGCACGTGCGACGCTTTTCTCAGGTTTTGCAGTGATTCAGCGCAAAGAGGAAACACTCGCTGTGAGCGGGTCCGACCCGGCCTACCTTAGTCAGCTCCTGTGCATTGGCGAGGTTGTCGACAGCGATAGCCAAGAAGACGTTCAGGAGGGTATCTGAGTAACACTCAGGAGAAAACACAGCAGGACAGGATCCAACGATAAAATATGCACAGTGTGTTTTCTATCATGCAATGAGCAGGGATGTCTAGTCAGTCTGTCATCAGGAGCAAAGTCAAAGTGAACTTTATCGTCAATATCTCTACATGGGCAGTCCGTTTCTCCGAGTCCCTTAGTGTACAAAAAAATAAACTATAAATAGATATAAAGATTATCAAAACAGCGCAAATGGTACAGGATCTTATTGTGCCACCTTATGACCTCTTTTCAAGTCTAAGAGCTAATTTCTAACTGGCCCGAAATACTCAAAACTGCACATTTTTGTGTCAACTGCTAAGATAAGAACTCTTATTTCAGTGAATATTTAGGAGCTCAAGAGGCAACCTAACTTCTGAGGAGCCGCCAGGTGCTCAGACGGAGACAAGAACACTTATTTTGCAGGAAAAATGAATTGATGTCAACGAGCTTCTTGAAAATCCTGCAAGAGTTCTGCTATTTTTTGTGCAGGATGCAGATGAAGCCACGTGTTCGTTTTGCAACTCGGTAAAAAACAACCAAGACGGACACGTGAAGACACATTTAGGAGCGAAAAATGAATTTATACCAATGAAGCTCTTGAAAAATCTGCAAGAATTATTCAAGTGTTTGTTATGCATGATGCAAAAGAAGACACATGCAACTCTGAAAAGTCTGTCACTGCTAATCATTTCAAACTTCGATCGCTCGTGCAGCTCCTCAGATAATCAGGTTACGTGTTGAGTCACGTCTGTATCTGAATGCTAACAACGCCGAGATGTTTCACCTCATCGCTCCCTTGAATGCAGGATCTGAATATGCAGTTAAAAATGCAGATTCAGGCTTCCTGTGTTTCATAAGTTACAACTAGTCGTGTGCAGGACGGGGCTTTCTGCATCATTTTTCTCCAGAATTACTCCAAAATTGCAACTTGCAATTGCGTAACGTCGAGGAGTTTACAGGGCTTAGTGAGCTGGTGTGCTCAGGCTGCAGCAGGAACACAGCGTGAAGCTAAATCTGAGCCAATTGAACAAACTAAGTCCCTCGACGTTTCACCTCAAACAAACTAAACTGCGTTTTGTCAGTTGGATTTTTTGGCAGCGTTCTACTTCCACGGTGCGTTGGAATCGAGCATCACGCCCTCCACGTCTGCCTCCTCTCACAGCCTGTCTGGGTCGCTGGCCCTGATTGCAGGAGTGGGAACAGATGTGTTGGATTCAGGCCACCAGCTGCCATTCATCACCGGTGCTCCAGCAGCACATGCACATCTACGCTCCGGCTGTGCTGCAAATCACAAACTTCTTTTCTTTTTGCTCTTAGTTGCATTTACAAAGTTCAGACTTGTTGCATGCTGTATGCACACATGCTACTTCTTTCCCCCTAAAGCCTATCCATCGCAGAATCTGGTGCAAAATGAGACGACATCCTGGCATTTTCTGGCTTCTTGCGTAATAAAATTTCAAGATCTTTTTTCTGGTTTGCTATATAACATGGTATTTAAATGGTCAAGTCTTTCTATGTCCTCCCTCACTGGATCCACTCAGCTTCCTCTGTTCTTTGGACTAAACTCTGCCTCTCATTGGCTCTCCTCCTCAGGTGTCGCCTCGGGCCCGCTCACCTGCAGCCTGAACCTGCCCTCAGCCCTCGACTCCCACCAACTCAGCTCATTATTCTTCTTCAAATTATCTGTCTGCTAATAAACCAGACTTTCTGTTGGTACTCCCAGTCTCTGCACTTGAACTCTCTCTCTCTCTCTCTCTCACAACACCAAACGAATTCTGAGTATTTGAGGTGTGAGTAGTAAAAGTTGCAGTTCAGTGCAGATAAAAAAATAAAAAGAGAAAAGTGGTTTGTTTGTTTTTTTAAATCCAGTCAAAGTGTCCATATAGTGTTTTCTATATGTTAGAGGACACATCATGAGCGTCTCCACCTTAAAACTCCTGTGGACAATTTTATAATTACAGATTCCCAAAACTCCAACTCGTAGATCAGAAGCGAGTTTTCTCGTCCTTCCTCTGCCCCAATCAGCTGATGACTCACTAATGCTTCACTATTAATAGTCTACTGATGTCAAAAATAATAATTTATCAGTCAGAGGGACCAGTTTTACTTTAATACTTTAACAGTATTTTGCTGCTAATACTTATATATGTGCCTTGACTTCAGTAGGATTTGTCATGCAGGACTTTTACATGTAACAGAGTGTTTTTACTTTGCTGTATGAGTACTGATTCTAAATTGTCCGTAGGTGTGAATGTGAGTGTCCTTGGTTGTCTGTCTCTAAGTGTAGCCCTGTGATAGACTGGTGACCTGTCCAGGGTGTCTCCTGCCTTCACCCTGAGTCAGCTGGGATAGGCTCCAGCCCCCCACGACCCTAGTGAGGATTAAGTGGTCTATAGATAATGGATGGATGTATTAGTACTTCTACTTGAGTAAAGGCTCTAAATATACAGATAAAAATACAGATTCAGGCTTTCAGTGTTTCTGGATCATTTTTCTTCTTAAATTACTCCAATATTGCAACTTGCAACTGTGCAGATTAACAGAGTTTTTACATTGTTGGTGAGCTGGTGTGCTCAGGCTGCAGCAAGAGCACAACGGGGAGTTAAATCTGAATCATTTTCAGGCACTGAGGGGTTATTTTTACAGAAAAAAAACATCTAAATATTGAACTTGAGATGAGTTTTTCAGGGTTTTAAAACCATTTTCAAACGGTTCTTTCCAGCTCAACACGTTGCAGCTTCATCTTGAGGATACAGTTTCCGAAGAGCGTGAGGACGATGAAGTAGATGGAGGAGAACATGCCGCGGCGGACGCCCCCCTGAGACTCGATGCCGTGGTACATGACGGCGTTCCAGTCTTCGCCGGTCAGAATCTGAGGAGAGACGCAGAGAGACTCAGGCGGGTTGTAAAAAAGCACGGCGCAGAATGAAATCGCCTTCCAGAGCGCAGGGTTATGAGCACAGACTAATTGAAGGATTATCAGTGAGCTCATTAGGGCACAGGAGGCGCACAGAGCAGCCGTTCCCTCTAATTAAAACCGCCGATAACCAACTCTCCTTTTTTTCCCCCGAACCGTTGGTTTTCTCTCAGAAAGCGTCTCACCTGGAACACGGTGAGGATGGCCGCCGGGAAGGTGTCAAAGTTCGTCGTGGGCGTCTCGTCTTCAAAGTTAAACCTAAAAGAATGAGAAGAAAACAAGATTACAAAGAGGAAAGAAACAATAGAAGTGAAGCTCCAGTCGGGTCCTAATGGGATCTACCTGCAGTTCAGGAAAAGCATGTGGATTAATGACAAGTCAAAGCTCCGACTATCTAAGCAACGGAACATGTTTCTGCTGACGAGAAACATGACGGGACGACATTCACGGTCAAAGCTGCAGCGTTTCTTCTTCGTCTTCGTCTCTGTGAAACTCTTATTGTGGATTATCACAAACACACACCTGCACTTCTATACTTGTGAGGACCGTCACAGACACAATGACCTCCGACGTTAAAGAATAAATCCAGGTTATCATGATTGTGTGCGGTATTTATGAAGTTGTGCTTAAGCTGTCGATATATTTAACATCTTCAGTGGAGGTTAAATCAGATAATAAACACTGGATCTGAGTATAGATCGACTTTAAAACAACAATTGAGCAGTTTTTACTAATTATTTGTCTGATAATATTTCAGACTCTTGGTGCATGTGATGGTTGTTTTGAGTATTTTATCACTGTGACCTTTTGCGTTTTGTTTTCTGGCTTCTTTTTGCAAAACAGATCTTGATCTCAGTGGCATTAATTAAATTTATCTAGCAGGTTATTTGTGAGGGACAGGATGGATATGAGTGAATAATGACTGCTCGTATTCATTGCATTTGCTCTCATTAAGGTTTTAAACTTTCATTAGTATTCAAAAAGAATTTACACAAAATCAATCATTCTATTGTGATTTCAGTATTTTTAATTTTTTTGTTTAAATTTCACCGACTATTACTGTTCCTGACGCCTGAACACTGACACCAACATACTTTATAATACACCAGGAAACAAGTATTTGTCATTACATAAGATATTAAATGCAGTATTCCAAAAGAGACAACAGTCAGACTTCAAAACCAGCAGTGGACCAAACAGGAAAAAACTGCTTTACTCTGTTGCACCAACATGTGCATTATCAATATCTTCTCCAGAAATCTTCTCTTTTTTTATTTCCACATTCAGAGGAATCTGTACAATATCAACAGCACTTATGTTCATTTCTGGTGTATTTTAGTTTTTTTTAAACTGATGTTCCAGATGTTTTGCTGCGTTTAAGGGGCATCTGTGTAAGTGTTGGTGGTTTCATGTCAGCTGCTCACCTCTAAACCTCTTGTCATCTTTGCATTTCTGCAACACTGTCTAGCCGCCTGGTGTTTTTCTCTGCCTGCTCGTTTGCGGTAACTCGTTGTCTTTGCGCTCTGTGGTCATTTAAAAGTGGATTCTAGTAGTTTGGAGATTTCTTGATTTGTGTAACGAGGCACGTTGACTGTCTGGAGACTGGATCGGGATCAGTTTGTCCACCACACCTTGCTAAGTTAAGAACTTTTCTCTGTTTGGTGCAGAGGTGCTGCTGCCTTTGTATTTCAGCAGGAAGTTTGTTTTCTTTTGCAGCTTATTTAAGAAGTTGGAGCAACTCAGAAGTTACTCCTTTCTGGCATAGTTTTCCTTCACAGTTTGCCCCATTTGTTTAACTGTTTCGCAAAGCAATATAGTTGCTTCAAATAAATAAATAAATGCTGTTTTCCTGCAACAGACGAGGTTCATAATGCTAAACAAAAACCTTCATTTTCACTCAAAACCTTCTGATTATCGTTGCTTTGTCCTTCATAAATGTTGATTTAAACTCTGTGTTTTCCTTCATCACAAACTAACATTAAATTAAAGTTTTTACACAGTTTCATTTAATGAGCAACAGCTGATTGTTCAGCAGTTTAACTTCTTGTTGCGTCTAATTTTTTTCTTTTCTTGGTTTAGACTGTACGGAAGATTTTGGAAACCAGTGGTTGTATGGTGCATGTCTTTACTCCACCAGAGTGAGAACCAGAGTCCTGTAAAAGAGTCAGCATTATTTTACTGTAAGATTGTAAAAAAGAATGAAATAAAACAAGTCAAATCTGCTGGTGTTTCTGCTCCTTGTTCATTGAGGAGAAACTCTGTGAAAAACATCTTATAATTGTGCACATTCAGCGTCCTAACTGATGCTTTATTTTTAAAAAAATAAATTTTGATGCACATGTGATATTATATCAGTCAGAAGGACCAAATCAGTACTTTTACTTTAATACTTCGACTTCATATTGCTGCTAATACTTGACTTAAGTAGGACTGTTTGTGCATGTAACGGAGTTTTTTTATATTGCTGTATTTACTGGATAAAGAATCAGTGTCACCAAACTGATATGAAAACCCCACAAAATGAAGACAAACCAGCGTTATTCTTTAACCACAAAAACTCTACGTCAAACTCCAGCCCTTGTGTTGATCTTTTTTTTAAACAAAATCCTAATTTGAACCCTATATTCAGGTCTTAGCCCTCCATGGTCTTAAATAAAACGTAAATATCCTTCGTCCTCACAAAGATAGAAGCACAACACACGTCCAGGTTTGGGGTTTTCAGATTTCCTCACAGCTTCAGGTAGTTTTTCTCACAGATGAAGGAGGTTGTTTTGTACTGATGATGTCTGGGACAGAAGAACATGCGACAGCGGGAATACACCGACCACCACCAGCTCCAACCAACGAGTCCAAAACACACTGAAGCTGCTGCTGCTCACGGCCGCATCATGTGACATTTGCTGAAAGCGCAAATAGAATACACGGCGATGCGGCGCGTCAGCAAATCCACATGTCAGGTTAACCATCTAATACCAGGCACAGAGTCAGAATGGAGAGAGGCTTAGATTGAGGAATTTCTGAAGAAGAAGGAGTGTCGCTCACAAGAAGGGAAACATCAAGGCAGCCTGGTTACGTCGAGCAAATCTGAGAAAAAAACGCTGCTTTACTGGGGTGTCCATCACCTCGAAACTGCAGTTTGTTGTAAAGAAAAAGGGTTTATATGGAGTAAAGATGGCCGTGTTGACATGCATCGTACAGTTTCAGTCTGTTTTGGGCTCAACAGAACATCACATGGAATAAAAAGTTCAACAAGGGAGCAGAAACGATGACAGACAACACACTTAATGAATGAATGAAGGGAGTTTTCAACTTAATAATGCTTCATAAATCTACTAAATTTTTTCATCTATTTTGTTGCAGTAAAACTATGTTCACACATCTTTTACGTATGATATTTGCTTAAAGTATTGAAAGATAAATAAAAACAAGACTTTAAAGGCCAAAATATGTACCACTACTGGGTTTACACAAGACTAAAGCCTACAGGTCTGTTTCTTTTGTGTTAACTTGTGATTTTTCCTCAGTTAACAGCAGGGTCCAGCTTAATATCAGAACTGTTTTCCATCACACATGCAACACTTTCTACACAAAGAGTCTAAATCTTTGCAGAAAGCCCCCAAATGACCCAACAAACCTGCCAAAACCTGTGTCCGTGGTCTTGAAACTAAAGAAGACAGTGAGAGAACGACACAGAGATGCATAAGGACGGTTTGTGGTCATTCAACTGAACAGAAGCTGCACTGCTAGCGTTCATCACTCTAACTGTATTCTCAAATATATATAAATATATATATGGAAAAATAAAGGCAGGTGCAAGAAATATTTGGGGTTGGAGAGAAGAAGGAGGCAGGAAAAGAGGGAAACTGTGAAATAAGTCGGTGAATTCAAAGCATCCAGGCAAAAATCTAAATACAGTTATAATATGAAAGTTATCAACTGGATTATTTTTTTTTAATCAAATGTGTGAATGTAGATGCTGATTGGAACTGCTTAAGCTCCAGAAACAAACTACAAGGGTGCTATTTACATATTTGATAACATAATTCCTCTCCATCAGTATGTTAGTCATTCTATGCAGATGATGGATGCTTATTTAATCACAAACAAGATAAAAGCAGATGATATTTTATTGTATGTTAGCTGACTATGAAAGTATATTTTCATTTGATTTGACAGCGTATCCCGTCATTCAAGGCTCAGGTTTCATGTATATGTTTGTTCTGTGGCCACTACTGTAAATGTTAACGTCCGTACTTGACTATAGAGACACAGAAGATATTGTGGCATCGTTCATAATGTACTATAGAGTTTAAATTACATAAAAACAGTATTTTGTGAGCATGCTAGAGAAACCTGCCCTTAGTCAACACCTAGAAAGCATAAATATAAGAAACACTGCAATATGTAAACCTTTAAAAACAAAAAACAAAAAACCAAGGACAGACGTTGTTTTTAATGCTTTAACTTATTTCAGTCTTTTATAAATGCAGTGCAGAACTTTTGTCTCCTCCTTCTGGCAGTGACAGTAATGACAAAAACACTGTGTTTTGTTTCTGTGATTCTTTCTCCGAATGCAGGCTCTCTTTTCCTATCTGGAAATTAACAACATTTGTTGGATGCCTTAAAGGTTTTTCCACCGAAGGCTCTGAAATGCTGCTAATTTCTGTTTCTATTTCCATCACTATGGAGCTTCCAAAAGCAGAAACCAGATTTCAGCTATGGTATAAACCAAAAAACAGGCAGATGTAATTGCTGCTGATGGGGTTAGCAGCTCATTTGACAAAGTCTTGACAGCCAAAAGTGACACCCTCTGGCTTGAAGTAAAAACTAACTACCGATACTTGTAATTTTTTGTTTAAAAATGTCTGTTTTTCTTTAACTTGATGCCACAAAATTGTTGTTTCCTTCTTGTGTTGATGCCAAAATGTAAGTGAGTTTAAAAAAGAGGCGCAATATTTGTAAATTTGTATAAATACACGGAGCTGAATGGTGCTTTTAAATAAATACCTAATGTGCGTTTACTGCCTGATAGCGATCAAAAACCATCAAATATGAACCTTCACGTCCACCTTGGATATCTCCTGATATCAAGTTGTGTGAAAGCAGATTTGATTGGAACATCGGAGCTCGACAGACAGAATAATCCCGACAAAGTTTACATGCTACACTCAAGCAAGACACATGCTGGAGTTCAGGAATTATACAGTGAAACCACAACACAAATATAAACATGTTACATGTGTTCAGATGCTATAAAGTCGTTGTTTCTGCCTGTAAATCGGTTTAAACGTCTTTTTACCGCTAACAACCGTATAATTCCAAGCATGCCACAGATTGTGCAAACCAGCCTGAGGAGCGAAACGGGAGAAAAAAGCGTCTGGGGGCAAAACCCACACGAGGGAAGAGAGGATGGAGGGAGAAGGAAGCAGGTCTGTAAGAGGAGGAGAGGATGTGGAGGACGTGGTTACCACGACGACCGTCTCCATAAACCACAGCTGGTTTCTCAGAGCAGATCCGGAGATACGAGTACGTGTGTGTATGTGTCTGTGTGTGTGTGTGTGTGTGTGTGTGTGTGTGTGTGTGTGTGATGGATGTGTAGTTCATTGTTTGGAGGCCGATACCAAAACGGAAAATAGAAGTTTAAAATAGAAAAACATCACAAAGCTTAAATGACAAATCTGAGTAAAGCACAGTTTACAACGGGTGTAAATAGATGATTAAATAAATGCTGAATGAAAACAACATGAAGATATTGTACATGACACGCCTTCAATAAAACATCTTCTGCTCTATAATCATAAAATATGGATATTTGATTTCGATTTTGATATTTTTCCAGTGGAAACGTCCTCGCCCTGCACAGAACCTTGATCTTAACGCCATCCAACATGTTTGGGATCAACTGCAACCAGATTTTGTTTTTAAAAAGTGTTTTCCCAGCAGAGAGAAGACTGAATAGAATAGAATAGAAGGTTTTTTTTCAATGTCTCTACATATCCAGGACATACAGAGGAACCGAAAGACGTTTCTCTCTCACCTTGTGTTAGTGCCACACGTTTAAAAAAAGGATCAAAATACGGAATAAGTGCATTAAAATTAAATTAAATATATAAAAATCTAACTCTGTACATGTGAAGATGTTGTTGTCAGTTTTCCTTTTCTCACAGTTTAATATTTTGCACTTCAGTGGCTTTGGTTCTGCAGCTACACTAAAAAAACAAACAAAAAAAGCATAAAACATGTTTTGATTATTTATTGTACTTTTTTCTGGTCGTGCATCGTAGTGACTTAGTGCTAGTGCTTATTGAGGTGAGAGTTGTGCAAATGGTTGTGAACGACATAGCAAGGTTTAGGAAAGATCACATGTGGATGCAATGATCATCAGTCAATAAACACATCGGCCTGCAGCATCGGCTGCTGCGTATCGTTCTAATGTGGACTGTAGATGCAGGAGCGATGGGGGAGGGAGGGAGGGATGGGAGGCGAAGAGGGGGAGGAGCCACTAATTTAATTCAGCCTGTTCTCTCCTGGTATGTCATCATATTCTGCCTTCTCCATCTCATTACTGCATCCTCCACCAGGCTCTCCAGCCCTCACCCCCGCCTGTTCTCTCCTGGTATGTCATCATATTCTGCCTTCTCCATCTCATTACTGCATCCTCCACCAGGCTCTCCAGCCCTCACCCCCAGCCTGCCTCCCCCTCCTCCTCACCCTCCTCCTCCTCCTCCTCCTCCTCTTCCTCCTCCTGCAGGGATTAGTGGACCCAGTGCAGGGAGGCCTCTGTTTACTCTGATAATAGGGATTGGAAGCGTGCTGCTCGGCTTCCACGCGCCGTCCGCCGAGACTTCATTAAATCAATCCAGGAAACAAGCAGCGCAGGAGGGCGAACTCGCTCGCATCTAATCCTCGGCGCAGCGGCGGAGGTGGGCTCGGCGCAGGTGACGGCAGCGTCTGAACACGTGGCTTCAAGATAAAAGACGTATGATGTGAAAGAAAAGCTGTATGAAGAGAGGCTGGATACAAAAGGGGGCAGCTGACTGTGATTTTTAAAACTAAAACCAACTTTCAGAAATTCTAGTGCAGTTTCGAAACTCTTCCGGGTTGTTAATCTCAAATCATCCGTCGCTCTGCTCAACCAGCTCAGATCTGCTTCATTTTCATCATAAACTATGAATATTTAAATTGATTTCTGTGAAATTTTAGACCGGAGTGCTTTCTGAGATTACACTTTTTTGCCTTTCAACACAATTTCCGCAGGTTTTTTTTTTGCACATTTAAATGAATATCTCAGGAACTATTAAAGATAAAAGGCTGAAGTGTTCCCTGGTATTTCTCATCATGTCATTGATTCAGAATCTGTCATATTAGAGGAGTAGATCAAATCATTTGTGATTATGGGTGAGTCGAAATATGGGGGGAAAAAAATGAAGCAGCCATGAAAAGTCCCATCTTTGAGCTCAGATTTTTAAAAAAAATGATAACTGAACTGAACTAGTGATATTTTCTGAACTGCAGGTCACAATAATACAAAACTAAACATATAGAGTAGTTATAATCTGAAAAACGTGATCACAAATATGCAAAAAAAAAATATTTCCATTGAGCTTTTATGACTAATGAAGCAGGTTGTACCACAAAAACAAAAATACTGGTAGATAGTTTAATGTCTCGTCTACCACCATCACCCTGGTGACCAAAAAATGGAGGAAAAGTTTCAAACAAGTTGTAAAAGAGTCAGACTTTAACCCAAACAAGGCTGGTCCTCTAAACCTAGCCAAGTAATTTTGGTGCCAAAATTTAACCGAGCTTTTAATAAATAATAATTGCTGTAAAAATATCAATAAAAGCATTATATTTAACTAAATCCAAGTGGCTTTGGCCGAAGCCTATGAAAACAGCGAGAAAAAATGAAAGTAAACATGAGAGAAAATTAAATGTAAATGTCAGAATTAATGTCCTACACAGATTTTTTTTAAAAAGAAAAAAAAGAAAAGCTCCAGTCTTGAGGATAAAATTCTCGCTGCTGACTTTTGTCTCGATTTTTTAACCCTTCAAATTAAAGGCCTTTCATTCTACATTGTAGTTTTCAGATTCAGTGAGAAAATAAATTTGTCACAAAACAAAATCATGTTTCGTTCAAAGAGTAAAGGAGAATGCTTTTAAGTTAAATGTCATTTTCGGGAGACAGGGTTGAATTTATGACATCTGTGCTGAACAATCAGAACTTATTCTCTGAGCTGCAGCTGTTTGACGACAGAGGAAACTGTGTGACGTCAATGCTGAACAGGGAGAGACGTGGGGAATGTCAACATTAACAAAGAAATGCAGATAACAGTGTTAGCTTTTGGTGAGAAAATATGTTTTAATTTTAGGGAGATGAAGCTGAATTAGTTTTATTTAGCCAAATTGAAAAATGATTCTTGGTGCAACTATTACCTGAGAAGACAAATTTTGGGGCAAGAAAACTCAAAAATGGAGGTTAAATTTTTTTTCTTGACTTTGGCTTGTAAAATGGTTCTTACTTTTATTTTATGAATTTAATTTTATGAAAAAAACTTACAAGATTGGCAAAAATTAGTGGTTAAAAATGCACTGCTTCTTTGCAAAATCACGAATTCCAGGAAATACTGACAACTGGTGATTTTATTTACAGAGGAATCTACCAGTTTTTTCTCCTTTTTGATTAAATGCCAAGTCTTCAAAATGTCAGTCTGAGGGTTAAAGCACACAGTTGTCATCTGATGTACAGTCGCAGAGCCCTCGCTGCAAATATAAAAACGCCGTCACTCCCTCGTCAAAGTTAATCAACAAAGAAGGTCTGCGGCTCTAAAACTGAGAACTAAAAAGCAGCAAATGGGAAAAAAATAAATCATTATTCTATTACTCAAATCCTGCACATTTCCTTTGAGCTTATCAAATATTTTCGCCGAGTGTCCTGCGAGTCTCAGCAGGAGGACGGTCCTCTGCTTCAAGCTGTTTATCTTCCAATTCTCACTATTTTACCAGGAGACTACTTTTGGTGTTTTTGTGAGCCAAAAATAAAGTCTGGAAATAACAAAACACTTCTTCTTCGTCTTCTTCCTAAAGAGCCTTTTAATCTTGGATTCAGGGTTGAACTCGTGTTCCAGGGAAGGTTCTCTGGTTTCAACACAAACAACATGAAGATCGTCTCTATTTTTTTTGGTAAAAGTAAACGAAAAAGACAAAAATCTGTCATTATTTGCCTCCTTTGTGCACATTTTTGGATTTCAGGGTGAAAACGAGGCGACCAGTGTGTCCGGAGAGCAGTGCCTCATCTGCTGGAAGCACCATGTGGACGTCAGACTCATCTCACACTCGTCCATCACCAACAGACTGATGTGATGTTAATGACGGTGCAGACAGATGCGAGGTTCGGCGCCATGGCAACAGCCTCCTGCTCTGGAGACGTGCAGTTGTGGGTTTTTTTTTTTTTTTGTGAAGGTTGTCTGTCCGAGGCGGCGTGACTCCGTGTGAAGGTGGTATTTCACACGAGAATAGGCACCGCCTGCTGCAGCGGCGAGGTGAAACCACGAGTCACGGCCGCCTATAAACACTTATTCATAGTTTTATGAATGACTCGTCAATCTGACAACCTGCACAGCTGTAGGTTCAGACCTTAACGTGTTCATGAGTAGTGTTCGTGGTAGCATCTCAGTATTATTCCCAATTTATAAAAAAAAAAATACGCACAGAAATAGTGAGCCATGTGCCGGTGAGAATTTGAACTTTTAGGGCGATGACACAGCAGTTCGAATTGTTAAAAAGTATAAAATATGTTCCACAGGTTGGTTGCTATCAAACATAAACGCCAAAGCTGATCCTCGGTGGTCTGTTATCACCATCAGCCACAACATTAAAACCACCTCCAAAGGTTTAGCATGTTATAATAAAGTCTTTTTTTTCTTATTAGTCTCTAAACCACAAAAAAAAATCAGCTACTATAAAATCCCAGACACAGGTCAGAGGTCAACAAACAGTGCTGCACTTCTATCTGGTAAAGATAGACTCAGAAATGGTAATATTAGAAGTTTAAAGGGGCAATGACAATAATTTTTCACATCATTTTCATATTTTTCGTTTCTTAATGTTGCAAAAAAACCTGTTTGTTGCAGCAGAAAACACGAGCGATGATGATCTAACAGGTTGTAAATCAAATCCAACTGATTCAGAAGAGAAAATTGTATGGTTCAACCCACTGCACATACTGTTATCTGAATAAAGTCATTTAAATGATGTAAATATGTTTGTTTGGCTTATTTACAACCCGTCTGATCATCTTCCTGCTCAGTTTTCTTTCTCGATGGACGTCTCCCAGATCATATTCCTGGAAATTGTGATGCTTTCTGACTAAACAACTCCCCGGTCAGGGCTGAGAAACACCACAATCCTGCAGAGTACAGAACAAAAGCTCAAAACTGTGCAGCCATTTGGCGATTTTTAACCTTGTAAACCAAACAGCGAGCGGCCAAAGCAGCATGTGTGTGTGTGATGCGAGGTGATGTGCGAGGAGATGGAAAGCGTTTGTGTTTAAGTCAGACGGGACCGGGCCTTTCATTAACGGCAGCCGGCCCAGAATCATGAGGTGTTTCTGTCATTAGAAGACATGGAGCTCCTGCTGAGAGCGATATCAAAGTCGCTGCTGCAGATCTGCCAGCTGCCTGCTGAGGCAACATGTCTGTCAGGGATCACATACGGGGAGGAGGGTCAGGAGGAAGGAAGGAAGGCAGGCAGGAAGGATGGAAGGAGGGGAAGAGGGGATGTGAGCGTGTTTGAATGGTGGACGGAGGACGGAAAGAGGAGCAGGACAGGGTTGGAAGAGCTACTCACTGTCCTCCAAAGAGCTGCATCCCCAGCAGGGCGAACACCACGATGAAGAGGAAGAGGAGGAAGAGCAAGCTGATGATGGACTTCATGGAGTTGAGGAGGGAAACCACCAGGTTCCTCAGAGAGTTCCAGTATCTGTTTGGTAAAATAAACAGAGAAACGATTGTTTTTATTCACATAACTTGTTACGGCGCAGACGGATTCAGACGGAAGAAATAAAAAGAACAACTGTGGTTGAAAAGACTGAGATAGAAACAACCAAAACAGAAGAGGAAAGAATAGAACAAACAGGAATAAGAGCTGTAGGTGGCATCAAACAAATCGATGCGTCACGAGCTGCAGCTGCCAGTTTGACTGAATCACAGGATTATGGTGAATGCAACGAAACAAAAGCTGCAAACTGTTTGTTTGTTCACACAGAAAAGGAATTAAGAATGAAGAAGAAAGCGTCGCTCATGTAGATCACTGAAACGCAGAGAGTCACAGGTTTTGTGCAGAACACGTTGGGCAGGAGGAAGACGTTTGGTTCTGAAGTTCAGGATTCCTCTGCAAGATTTCAACCTCATACAGTCACAGGATCATTAAATGTTTGTTTGTTTGTTTACTGATTTAATTAAAAAAGGCTACTTAGAAATTAGTTGGTAAGAAAATCTGACTAACTGATATGTTTTTGTGGAAAAATCCAAAGTTTCTTAATGCAGAGCACAAAATAAACTCATAAAGGAGGTAAAGAGTCCTATGAATGAAACACTATGAGTTTAAATGTACAGAATCCAGTTAAAGTCAGCAAATAGTTATCAACACGAAACCTTCCCTGTTGGTTCCCGACATTAAGACCAATATCTTTAGAGTTGCAAATGTTCTGAAATTTAGGTTTTAATTATGCAAATGACTTATTATATGTCTAAAAATGCCCCGGTTTGCATTAATTTCCAGAACAGAAATCTGAACTTTGCATGACGACAGCTTCAAAATTCTTCAGGATTTGTCTTTTTTTCACTGAATAACTCAGAAAATACTGTCAAAAGCAAGAAAGAAATCATTTCTTGGCATGTTTTTAGGGATGAAATGTTCTATAAATCAGGCTCTGACTGATAAATGAACAAACCTCTCAGTGAAAACCTTAAGAATACCGGCAGGAATAAAACTACAAAGTTTGGTGCATGTAAGTATCAGAGGATGAGAAAAAAATACTTTTAGGAAACTGTCTTTAAAGGTATGTCTTGCAATTTAAATTTGCAGACGCACATAGACAAAGTGTAGTAAAATAAACATCTGAATGTGTATTTTGATGCTTTTATAAAAGCAAAATAACCAAAATCTCAAATTTAACAAGTGCATTAAAAAAACAAGTTTTAGCTCACAGGTGCTGAGTCCATTTCTATCCAAACAAAGACTGAAAGATTATCTGAAAAGCTAATTTTACTAGATTTTGTCCGTCATATTTGTTTTTTTTAAATTGTGTTTCTAACAAATTTGCTTGTAACTTGTGCTGCTGCCCCTCTGAATATGCTCTGTTTTGTCATTTAAACTGAAGTCTGATGCTGCATTCGTGTAATATTGGCACCAAATCCAGAAGAGGAAAGCCTCCAGGGAGTGTTCACACATGACTCTAGACAGCTACACCCACCGCTGCCTCTGTAGCGACGCCTCATGAACAGCCTAAACCGGCCTCTTTTGTCTTTGGAACAGTGTACTGCTGCATTTAAATGAATTATTTAAGAGTTAAAACAGAATTATATGAAGGCGTAGCTGCCAGCGATGGAGGTTTGCAGCCAATTTGGCCGTTAGATTAATGACAACTTCTTTTAACTAAATCAGAAATGTTCTCCTTCCTGTTTGGCTGCTTGTGATCAAGTCATACATGTCATTGTTTGCATTTTGAAGACATAAATAATGCCAATCCAATCCTCTACTGTGAATATTTATGGTTTTAGCCACTTTCTAGTGACGGTTTTCCTGCTGATTGATGTTGAATTAAGACTAGAGGAAGTCTTATCTGTGGCAGGTTACCAAAATAAAAGGTGTGTAGTTTAAATCAAACGTCCAAACAAAGCACATCCTGCAAAGTCCTCATGTCAAAAAGGAATTAATGATGTGCAAAACCAAAATACATGAAAATAATTTGCATCAGAAACACTGTGAATGTTTCCAGCATTCACAATATTGGGTCTAAAATCTCTTTTGAGCTGCAGCAGTAAAATATCTCTGAAGGGTTTTCCAAGAAAACTCTTTCTATAAAACTGAACATGAGGTTTTTCATTGCGACTCATAATTTCTGCCATTTATCTTTAGTTACAGAGTTTTCCCATTTTTGTTTCATCTTCAATGAAGTTTATAAAGCAAAATATCTCTGGGTTTTGCCACAATTTTTGCAGCTTTATAAAATTTTCAAAGTTATGCAGTATTGTTGTCTGAAGGAAACATCCAAGACTAAGTGATGAGAAAAGTGTTTTTCTTAAATGATTTCTATGTGGACTCGTCCTGTCAAGGCAGATATGTGATGTTTATGTATCTCTGTTTGACTGATTTATGATTTATGGCAACAATTTTTCATGCAAACAAGAAGGAAACGAGAACATATTTATAACAGGCTAATAAAAAGAGAGTCAAAAAACACTGTATAAGTCTTAAAGCTGCAGTAGGCAGTGTTTTCTGGTGTCTAACGTCTCAACATTTAAGTGGTCTGAGAGGAAACTAGACTTCTGCACTTCCTCTTGGATGTGTTTTCAGGCTTTAGAAAGTCGAGGAGATTTCTGCCAATCATGGGACTTTTCACCAAGATCAGGTGAGAAAGTACAAAGAGTTGCAAAAGCCACGGTGGGATTGACAGAGGACCTTTATTTTGGAAAGTGGGGTTTGAATTCCCTTCAATGCTACAAGTGAATGTTGACTTTTAGTTTTAAACGTGAAAAAAATCCCTTTTCTTGCCTTTTTCCAGATTTCTGCCTACTCCAGCTTTAACAGTTGACAGTAAATCAGCAGTACTGTTTTGGCGTTATTCAGCAAATTCTTTAGTAAATCAAGTGGTCTGAGAGGAAACTAGACTTCTGCACTTCTTCTTGACTTTGTTTTCAGGCTTTTCGGTGACATTTCAGTCAATCACAAGTTTTTTCAACAAGATCAGGTGAGAAAGTACAAAGAATTACAAAATCCAGAGTGGACAAACTGAGGTTTTACCAAATATGGGGAAGCAGTGGGTAAACAGAGGACTTTTACTCTGGAAACTGGGGTCTGAACCTCATTTGAGGCTAAAAGTGAATGTTGACTTTTAGTTTAAATATTTTGAAGTGCCTAAAACTTGATTTCTCTTCAGATTTCTGCCTACTTCAGCTTTAAGGGTTGACAAAAAAGTGTAAAAGAAGACTAGACTTTTTTTTCTTTTCTCGTTTTCTCAGCGATGAACTTACTTGGTGACTTTGAAAATCCTGAGCAGCCTCAAAGCTCTCAACACGCTGATACCGAAGGAAGCTCCTGGCTTGATCATGTCCCAGATCACCTCGAAAATACTCCCCACGATCACCTGGGGACCAGAGCAGAGAGTAAAATTAGAAGCCTTCATCGCATCGAGGCATTTAAAACAGTTTAGAGCACATCAGATCCTGAAACTTACCCCAAAATCAAAGCAGTTAAAGGACGAGTGGAAGTAATTCCTCGCCCCGAGCCCGTACATCTTCAGCGTCATCTCGGTCAGAAACAAACCCAGAAACACAAACTCTGCTGTGTCTGGTTGTAAAGAAGAGAAACTTTAGTTCTTTATGCTGTGAGTAAGTGTGATTTAAAGTGTGTATTCATTTGGTTGACTTACAGAGAGCCCTGGTGAGCCACTCGGGCTGGTCGTAGTGGACGATGGCGACGCACAGCGTGTTGAGACCCACCAGACACAGGACGATCCAGTAGAAGCTCTGAGCTTTCACCATTCGCCGGATGAAGAAGCGGATCCTCTTCTCTTTGCGGCGGAAGTAAGACGAGCTGTCCATCTTGCCGCTCTTCACGCTGGCCCGGCCGAACGGAGAGCCGGGAGGAGCTGAAGAGGTGGGAAAAGGAAAAGAAAAAGCGTGAGTTTGCAGCGGTTCATTATCCATCTGGTTAGTCAGTCTGTAGCGTCCTTCTCCTGAAACCTGTTTTCTCATGAAGTCAAACTGTTTTCAAACTATTTCCTGCTCGCTTGGAACACATTTTACTGAATCACAGGTATGAAAAAGTCCATATATTTGCACTTAAAACACAAATTACATCTTGTTCTCTTAAAGACAGCAAATTGTCGTTTATTAGCCGTCTCCTCTGAGCTGGTCTTTGATTATTATTTTGCTTTTTGAGTCACCAGTGCTTGTATTTACCCCATCCTGCCCTTTCAGCTAATGTTTGTTGTGCTGTACTGAACATATTTCGTCTGCTGCACACTTCTTGTTCTACAGAAAAGCTCACTTCGGTCCTGTCTTTTGTCTTTGTGAGATATTCTTCCCGCTCCACACTATCTTTACGTCAGTTTTCCAGGGTTGCATCAACATTGCATTTGTGCTTCGGCTCACCAAAATGAATAATTATATAAAACCCCGGTTGCGTTTTCCGTTTAGAGCTACATTTGTGCTGCTGCCCAATTAGAGGAGGAGACAACATCAGCTGGAATAGAAGAAACTATTGTGTAAGAAACACTCAGAAACTGTAAAAACTATGAGAACATAAACTATATCTGTAATATAATGATATTTACAGCTGATTTAAATACAGCAGATCTGTGATTTTAGGGCCACACATTGCAAAAATACACTTTTTTGCTATACATCATATGAATACACACATTATGTACAGTTTTAAAGTGTTTATTTTACAATCAACGTGTAAATTCTTGACTTTTCTTTGTTATTTTACTGGATATTATCTCTAACAAACAGGGAAAAACGAGATTATTTGATTTACTTTGATTTTATTGCAGATAAAATGCGTTTATTGCCTCTGCATGTTGTTTATCGTCTGTTTTTATTTGTAACAACAAGTGTTTACTGTTGTTCCTGCATATATATTACTGAACGCCTCACAGTGTAACATTTCATTTGCAGTTCTTTGCACAACACATGCAACATCTCCGTCTTTGCGGTGCTAAAATGTGACGTTCGGATGGCTGTAGAGAGACCAAACCTGGTTTGGTAGCTAATAATGGATTCTGCAGGCTCAAATACTGTAAATGTTGAGCTGATCTGATGTGATTTGTTCTGTTCTTTGAGGTAATGAAAGCTTGTAAAGCGTCTATAGTGTGGCACTGTTCTGGTTCTGCACAGGAATACTTTGACTTTCTTAATTTCTGCACTATAATTAGTCTTATCAGTCCTTCTATACATTGATTACACCATTATTTTTCTTGTATTTTACACTTTACTCTGTGCATGCAGCCCCACAATTATACCGCACTGCACACTTGTCATTATTTAGTGATATTTATCTTTATAGATATTTTTAAATCACAATTTCATGATTGCACATTGAGTCATTTAAGCTACTGGATGCATAACCATGCATATTATCTTTTTTATTTCTCTGTTCCTGAGCCACAGACCAACTTTTTATATTAAATGAATGAACAAATACAACATCTTGTCTTGAGCTTGTTTTTTTTTCTTTTTTCAGCTGAGTTCATTTTTTTAGTGAAAACTGGAGGAAGGACTTTAATTCTAAAATCTGTAACAAGTGTTAGCGTGGCTTCATCACGCAGACTTTAACTCCTAAACATCACATATAAGTCTGCAAACAGTTTGTGAGGTTTCAGCCTGAATCTGAACAGATGATGAAGTAATCTGTGCACAACATCAGCTCAGATCCCGGAACAGATTTCTCCTCTGGTCGTCTGGAGAAAATCGTCCTTAAACTCCTGTAACGTGAGTCTGGCTTTGAGGTTTTTAACACCGTCTGCTTCGGGTATGAATCCAAATTACAGTTTCCATCTGTTTGTGAAAATTGTTTGTGACCACGACTGTAGACTGATAAAACAATATTTACTCATGAGGGACAAAAACAAAAAAGCATGAAATCACCTCCTTGAAATTTAGCTGCAGCTGCTCGTTAAAAAAGCACAAATTATGCGTGAAACAAGTGAGATGAAAGATGGAGTTTGACGTCTTTTCCTTCGGCATTTATGGAAAACAGTCATTAGATAAGAAAGAAGTTGCATTTTTAAATTGAAGGCAACAAAATGGTTTCAATTAGCGCGCTAATGCTCATTTCCAGCCAATAGACGAGCAATTACATGTTGTCTTTGTGAGGGAGCGCGGAGCCCATTAATATTAAAAAAGTATAATTCTAATGTGCTGCGGGTGATTCTCTTGCTATTTTAATTTAACAGTCTAATTAGGAAAGTTAATTAAACTCCTTCCCCCTCAAGGTGATGTACTTCTACAGCCAGGAGCTCCAGGATCCACAGAGTAGCTACGATATGGAGAGCCTCCTTGTTTTGTAAGCGTTGATGTGATAAACGGAGGCCGGAGAGCCGCAGGACACGCCGGTGTTCACGGCGGGAGGCTTTATTGTAAAGGTCGCAGCACGCAAAGGTCGGAGGTGAGCTGCTGGTGGGCGAAAGGATGAAGGATTTACCAACAGAGGAGATGTCAGCGAAAGGATCTTCTCCTTCCTCGGCGCCGATCAGGTCGTTTTTACCCTTTTTGACTTTGCCTCGCTTCAGCACTGCGAAGAGAAAACAGCATTCTTTAATGTAAATGAACAAAACGGGAGCCCCCCCTTTTTCTTTTTTTAGTTTCAATGGACTCGCAGGATGTGAGGAGAGAAAAAAAAAAAAAAAAAAGAGCGAGTGAGCGAGCTAATTGGAAACTATGAATAGCAGGCATCAATCACGTTTTTCATTTGGAGATTTTCTGCCTTCCTGCTCGAAGTCAGCCTTGGAATGAAAAACTGCCGGCCAGACGTGAATGTGATCGTCATGTGACCGCCGCCGAGTCGTCGCAGATCTACAGCCGTCCGCTAAAGAGGGACGCCGGGAGGCAGGAACGGGCGGGAGCTAATGAACACAGCTTTAAATGGAGGGAGACTCCCAGTGTGTTCCTACATGATCACATCTGTCTATGGCTGACTCTGAAAATCTGAATTTGTTAGAAAAAAAACATGAAAAAATCAATTTGATTCCAATAAAAAACAATAATGCTAAGATTTGAGTGTCTAGCACTAGAATTAAACGTGTCTCAGGGCTGCAACATGATTCATTTTTAATGCTGCTGCATTTTGAGTCATTTTTAGACGATAAAATTCAACAAAATCTGAATAATGACTCATTAAGAAGACGGTATTTGCATTGAAGCCTGTGGAAAAAATCTTTAAAATCATT